AAAGCCTTGCTGAAGTCCAGGTAGACAACATCCACGGCTCTCCCTTCGTCTACCCAGCCAGTCATGTCATCGTAGAAAGCTATCAGATTGGTCAGGCATGATTTCCCCTTGGTGAATCCATGACATCCGCCAGCTCTCTCAGCACTCGTGGGTGCATTCCATCAGGGCCCATGGATTTGTGGACGTCCAGATCGCTTAAGCGATCCCTCACACAGTCCTCCTCGACCAAGGGAAAGTCGTCCTCACTGTAGGTTTCTTCTCTTACCTTTGGGGCCTGGGATTCCTGAGGGCCAGTCTTAGCACTGAAGACTGAAGCAAAGAAGGCATTCATTAGCTCTGCCTTTTCCGCATCCTCCGTCACCAGGACACCCGCCTCATTCAGCAGCGGCCCCACGTTGTCCCTAGCCTTCCTTTTGCTGCTGATGTAGTTGAAGAAGCCCTTCTTGTTGTTTTTGACATCCCTTGCCAGCTTCAATTCCAGGTGAGCCTTGGCCTTCCTCGTCGCATCCCTGCATGCTCTCACTACGTTTCTGTACTCTGCCAGGTACTTTTTCTGTCAATGAGGTAGGTTTTTTTATACATTTGGTGGTGAAAATTGGCTTTGTTCCAAGCTTTCCTGTGGATACGAATGAGTGATACGTCGCTTTGTTGCCTTTCCCCATAGCTGCTCTGGAACACACTTGGTGTGTTATTTCTGTACTCTGCCAGGTACTTTTTCTGTCAATGAGGTAGGTTTTTTTATACATTTGGTGGTGAAAATTGGCTTTGTTCCAAGCTTTCCTGTGGATACGAATGAGTGATACGTCGCTTTGTTGCCTTTCCCCATAGCTGCTCTGGAACACACTTAGTGTGTTTCGCCAGAGCAGAGTCTCTCTGGCTGTCGGCGTGCTGTCTTCTGCTGCTGACCTGGCTGTGGGAATTTCCCTGTCTCACAAGTGGTGCTGCTGTGGAGTCTCTGCTGGTTTTGATACTCGGACAGTCCCTGAGAAACCACCTTGCTTCGTGCCTGGCTGAGGGGCTGTCAGACACACGTCTGTACAGCTTCATCTGGTGTGGTTTGGTCTTCCTCCTGTTTTGATGTCAGATGGGAGCACCTGGCACAAGAGATACTGTTTTGCCTAAGAAGCTCACAATCCACACACCCTGCATTACACAGCTACTACAAAGCAGATCTAAGAGGTGGCCCTGTGATTTATGAAACAGGCAGCATATCGGCCTCGGAGCTCCCACCTACGGGATTGGGAGTTTTTAAGCATTCTTATGTTTCCTATTTGAGCTTGTGGATGCTCTTGGATGTGGTAGTCAAATCATGAACCCACACTGTGAAATGTTCCTCTCAGTGCAGGCACTTCCTTGTTCTGTTCACCATTCCTAATGAAGATGTAAATGCTCCGTCTGTGGGTTCAGGGTATTCTGGAGCAGAGCTCTTGCTCCTTCCTGTGAAGTTGAGAGGGCCCATGGACGTGTCTGTGCCTGAATCTCTTGAAGCTTTAATGAATGTTTTATCCAAGCATTCGCTGAAGCAGAGACTGGAACTCTGGTTTCCCCCTCCCTTTGCTATTCAGGGGCTACACCGTTGTGGTCTTCCCAGAGGGGTGAGTATTCCACCTTGCAAGCTCCAGGAAAGTAATTTCATCAGGAGGAACTGGGCCACCTACCCCCATTACAGCAACTACCAAGGACGTGGTAATTAAGGTTCAAGTCTCCCTCAACAAAGGCAGCGATCTAAGGCAGAGGTTCCTTGTCCAAGGTCATGGCTTTAGCCACAGTGCTGCTAGAGATGCTGGATGGGAAAAAGTTCTAAAAGGCGTCCTCACAATACGCCGCTGAGGTTGAGCCCTGCTGTGCCACAGTTTGGGAATGCTGTACACCCCTGTATAAATACCAGTTATGCCGCGTTGTGAAGGCTCAAACAATCTCACCATCGGCGCCAGCAGATCCTGGGCACAAGGAGAAACTTTCTGGTAGAAGGTGGCCCATTAGCAGAACTGGGCTTGTGAAGATTTGTGGGTTGGATTCAGAAATCTACCTGAGCGGTTAGGTAAGAACTGGACAATACAACTTCTGCAACTCTAGCACTAAACTTGCAACACTGATTCTTAAGAAAGTCTCACTTAGAAGGGGGGAGTGGGGGGGGGAAGGTTGTGTTTGCCAGCTAGGACTCCCTAAGCACTCAGCTCATTTTGTTTGTTTCCATGAGTCATTTTTAGAACAGGCAACAATAATCCAACGATACTTGAGTCACGCATAGTCTGGAGCCAACTTCTTAGAGAACACAGCTTTCTGGAGGAAAGTGAAAAATATTCTAAAAGGAAAAGCGCCTCTCCTGCTTTTGTACATAAAAAGAAATTGTTTTTAAAAAAAAAGTGGTTGATGTAATTGGCTTTTGAAAACACAGAAGCCCGTCGTTCCTGTTTGTCCCTTCGATTTTGAGACCTAGAAAGGCACGGGACAGAAAGGGACTGTTGACTTAGGACAAAAGAAAATGAAGTCCCCCTTGAACAAGCAGGCGGTTGCTGACTGCCTGCTAATGCCTCGTGCTCCAGCACAGGTCACGACAAGCGTGCAGGGAAGCGGGGCGGGGGTGGGTCCCATTACCCAGCTGTGAAGTGCAAGTTCACTGTACATCTTTGGCTACCGCCTGACAGCTGCTCTGACAGAAGCAGCCTTCCTGCTACAAAATACGTCCCATCCTAGCTTCTGCTTATCAGTCACACCGTCACTTCTGAAAATCGGGCGGCGAGAGATCTTCCTAAACCAGGTGCTTTGAAACTCCACTCGCCGTTTCCCTCCCGTGCTCACAGCTCCCCCAGTGCCACCCTGGCTGCGTAAGGACTGACTCAGAGTTCCTCTGCGGAGAGAGAGCTTTTTCCGCCTGCTTTTCTCAAAAGCAGCTCAGCTTCCAGGATGTGATGCTTTGTTGTGGGGAGGCCCCATCTCATCGCCTGGAAACAGAGCTATGAGGGAGTATCTATTCCAAAATGAAGCAACAAAGGCCTAAGTCTTCATCTGACCTCCTCAGATGGGAAGGGCTTCAGCTAAATGTACTGTGCTGCTCACAGCACGGGGAGTTCTTCCTTCACCTAAAGGAATTGTTTGTTCTGAGGCTATAAACAGCTGTTCTGGATCTGTAAGAAGGAAAATACGCTACACAAGCCACTACGATAAATGCAGCTCTATGCAGCACGAATAGAGCATTACAAAGATCAGTTTATGTAAGAATATACAGGTGACAGCTGAACAGCCCTGCTCTCAGTAAAGCGCAGCTGGATTTTTTTCTCAGCCGTGAAAGATACACTAACTAAAGAGCCAAAACATCATTTCTGTTACCTCCACTGAGGAGTGGCTGGTATGAGAAATAAAATACTGTTGCCCCAAATGTGTTTAGCTGTTGAAGCTAAGAAACTTGCTTCATCCATATATACAGATGCTGCGTGTTAACACAAGCCTCACGCCAAAGCACCAGTGCAGGAGGGTGTTACAACAAAGGCTCAGCGCAGATGCTTGGTCTGTGCATTGGACAGCACTGGCTAATAAGGCTCCTATGGCAACAGTTTTTCTTCTGATTTGTCTTCTACAATGCAACAAAGCAGTAATGCAGTAATAATACTGTAGGAGTGCTAGAAACAAACTTTGTAAATTTTTTTAAACTTTTCAAAACTACCATTTTTCTAGCTAAACACAGGCGATTCTGGTTTTTCTGGCCTGTTTTATTCATTTCAAGCAGCAGGCTTTAATCTCAAGAGCATCACGTTTAACTGATTGTCTTTTTTACTGTATCATTTGAAAATAACTCTTCTAAGTCTTTCAGTAGTAACAACTGCACCTTATGCTCACATCTGCCCAGCGGAAAGCTGAGGCAAGCTACATTTCTCCCTGCATAGCTGCTTCCGCTTGACTGGAATCGGTCACTCACCGTGGCTCTTTGGCCCTTAAAAGAAAAAAGAAAACTGATGCAGATAAGTATTGTTCTGCTTTGCACCGCCATGGTTAGCAACTGCATTGAACAAATTGTTTATGTAAATGCACTTGACTCAACATATTATTAAATAACACAAGGACTAAGTTGTCATCAGCCATGTCCAATACAACCTCAGTTTCTTGCCTTGCTTGACTGAAAACATGAACATAGCTGACCACAACTGTAAACTTCGGCAGAGATGTAAACTTTGATACACTGGGGACAATTTGATAAACTAGGCAGAAGACTGCAAAGGCAATTTCATAGGGAATAGCAAGAGCACAGTGGAGAAGTATCTATTGAGAACATAATTGTTGTTTGAACAGTTCTGCTTGTACAGCTAAACAAGGGCTTGGGAAGGAGTTAATTTAGCTAGAGACTTCTTTTGTAGCTACCTCTGGAAACAGGGGATAAGGAAATAGTACAGCCTATAAACCCATCACTGAAATCAAATATATAAAATGAATATATTAAAGCTTTGAATTTTATTACACTTAATTTCTTCTGAATATCTTACCCTTCTCTCCTGTTTAAAGTAAACCTAAACATGAGAAATGGAAGGATAAAGGAGAACTCCACTAAACGTGGAGTACATTTCATCAGAGTCTGTGTAGGCCAGTTTGCCTCCTGTTACGACGACGTTTACTTCATCTCCTGCTTTGAGGTGAAGAACAAGGTGGAAAGTCCCAGGACCACCACAGGTCTGTTTCCCCGAATAAGGTTTGTGGTACTCCAGCAGTTCCCTCCTGTACCCAGCTGTGTGGAGCTGAGCCACACTTGCATTGGAGACGGACAGCACCGCTTCTACGTACTCGTCCCTCTCCGGCGCCAGCACAGCAGTGATCAGGTAGCGCCCTTCATACGGTGATGTGAAAATGCCTGCAGAAAAGAGACAGGCTGAGCTCTTCTGAGTTACTCAAAATGGAGAGACCTGAGCACTCTAAGCACGATGGCAAACATAAAGCGACATGGGCTACCCACTGCTACGCACAGAGGACAGCCTGGGCAGCTGAGCAACCCCCCCCAGCCATGAAGGCAAAGGGTTGCTGCTTCTGTGTCAGAGCCCACCCGTCTGTCAGGACATACGCAGGTCTTGTCCATGTTTGGAAACCTCTCGGCGTCAGCAGCTGCCGTGACGCAGAGCTGGGTGAAGAGCGAGGGGCACCTGCATGCTATGCAGGGCCTTCAGAGGTTAATGCACGCCGAACACCTCCAAGTGACATGACACTCTGCTTGAGGAGGCGGCAGTCACCGTTCCTGGAGAGGCTGTACTATCACCTCTCTCCTCTCCGGGGCAAGCCGGCTGCCGGGGCTGCAGTGACGGGGGTGCGCAAGGACCCCCACTTCTGCTGGCCGAGGCGGGGTGAGGAGTACAACCAGCTGTGCCGGCAGAGCAGAGGTCCTGGGCAGTGGGGCCTCAGTGTCACTGGGCAGTTGTGGAACACCAGCAGGGGCAGAGCACATGCCTGTCCACGTCCACAGGAAGCTTCTGCCTGAGCGTGTCTGGTTTAGATGGACTTATTTGGTTTGTTCAATGTGCCAGCAAGGCCCGAGATAGCATCAAGCACCGGCAACCCACTCTACTGCCCATCTGGCACCTCTGTGGGTCCATTGCTTTGGCTGTTACCTGTATTGGGGTTATAATAGTCCCCGTCATTCACAAGCACTTTGTTAAAGTGAACCACGCCGACATCACTAGAGAAAGGCTTCTGCGTGAGCCCAGCAGAAAATGACACCAGAGAGGCCGCAGCAGCAGCAGGTCCTAAAATGGGTAACAACATGAGTCAGAGTCACATCAGGATGACAACACCGCCTCTCCCTGTGATGGTTTATAACCCAGTGTCTCTCTTCCTGCACATACTCCACTTGGACTAACCCTGGCACTTGTGGGATGCCAGAATTAGCAGAATACGTATTGCTGGCCCAGGTCCCAGGTGTCTCACCATAAAGTTTACTGAGCACCATAAAATTCCCTCCTTGGCCCCAGCCTCTGGTTTTTTTTTTTTTTTTTTAGCTTCTAAGGAAAAGGTACACGGCTTGTAAATGCTGGCAGTGGAAATCCTGCCACCCCTCAATTCAACAATGCTTCTGCCACAGACCTTCTTCAGGACTGAGGCTGCCCTCGGACATCTCCGGTCTCCGTCCCTATCACAGTGGCAACAGGAGTGATAAGGTGTATGGCTCGCGCCAGCTTTCCTAGTCATGCTGAGAAGCTGCACACAGCTTAGATCTCTTACCTTCGCTGCCGAAGGGCAGTGAAAATAGCTACAAGAAGTAACACTTCGGTATTAAAGCAAAGAGAACCACCACTGGCGCTTTTCTTTCTTGCACTTCTCTTTTGGGGTACTTCTCACTCCACAATTTTTTCTTCTTTTCTCAACAGATCAGACAGACTCTTGGGTATTTTATCATGGCTACCTGCCTACTAGCTAAACACTGCTGTTAGACGAGATACAATCTGGACAATTAAGACAAATTTTTACTTTTAACAGACTGACTTAATGGCAAGTGTTTAATGATCAATCACTTGTTAGTCCCATTTTAGGTCCCTTCCCTCTAGAACATTCCCCCTAAGGCAGGAACACTGCTAAAAGTAGTCAACTCTTGTTGCTTTGGTCAGGCAATTGGGCAAACAATGAATACACCTAAAGTTGTCCTCGGCTGGTCTTTCCGTTCTACCCTGTTCAGGTTAGGATCCTTGTCTTCTCCGCGCTGTTTCACCTCTGCTCCTTCTTCTGCCTCCCTTAAAATAAATGTTTAGTTTTCTCTTCCTCTCAATCTGAGATGCCCATCAGCAACCAATGTTCAATTCAGATCATAGCACTTCAAAACTGAAGCTAGAAAGTGACAAAACTTTATCTAAAATGTGGACATACAAATGCTCTGCTATCCACTTTTTTTCTGAATAACTTGGCATGGGGGGGCCAGGAAGCGAAGACAAGGGGAAGACATGCCTGCAACTTCAGAAATGGCAAATAACTACCTTGATTTCCCTCGGGGGCTAGTAACCAGCTACCTCGTGTATCTCTGGAAATCTCTTTATTCACTATTTTGTCTCACGCTCAGAAAACAGACAGAAGCCCTTTTTCATTACTCCTACCTGCCAGTGCGCCTGCAGGTACTCCTGTGAGCTAAGATGAGATGATTGAAAGGACCAAAATTAATTGCAGGAAGCCTACTTACTTAAGCAGCTTCTGTAAAGCTCCACCACCTTAACACCATGCTACTTACAGAACGCATCTCTTTGTATTCTCGGCTTACCCAGAGACTCAAATCAGCTGAAACTGCACCTCAGTAACTTCTTGTTGGCTCACTCGGAAAGGTTTCTCTCCGCCGCAGTCATTACTGCACAGATGGCAGAAACTATTTGATGCCTGCCCAGAAACTCTGTCCTCTCCATTTGCAGTAGCTATGGTGTTGTCTGGATAAGGGAGCAACTCCTGCCCTGGCTCACCATGCTTCCTTCAGGATTTTCCTGCACTGATTGCTAGAATAGTTATTAGAGTTTGCTGTGCTGGACTTGCTTCAGATCTGCAGCCTAGTTCAGCACACCACCTGTGTTTGTCCAAAGGAGAAATCTTAAACCCCTCTGAATATCCTGCAGATCAGTTCAGCGGGCAATATAGGGAGGTGCAAGCAGAGCGCACCGTGTCTCTGCTCTCTTACCCTGCTCCCCACTCCCAGCTGGAACTGTGCCCGTCTGAAGCTTTCACGAGCCCTACTGACAGCTCTCAGCGGTCCTTTCACAGAACCTAACAGAGAGGCAAACCACATTCTCCTACATGTCCTCACTTGCAAACACTCTTCTTCATGCAAAGACCAAAGTTCAGCTTCTCTAGGCAAGATCCAGGCCTGGAAACTGCTTTCATTTAAGCAGTTAGTGCTGTGGAATTATAAAAATCAGGAAGAAAAGTTTTAAAGCTTTTAAATGCCAGGAACTGCATGCACAGCTCTGATGAAGAAGGTTCTAGGCAGGCAAAAAGTTTCACAAAAGATTCAACCACGGTTTTACAGCTTGTAGGGGAGGAAGAAAAATCTTTTACTTCAGACATATTTAAGAAGGTTTCACTTGAGAGATATATATACACGTAAGCAGGAGCAGGTATGCGTGCTCATGGCAATCGAACCTAGTATAACGCAGTCTGGGGAGTCAAAAGACCACAGAAGACACATGGGTGGCCTTTGTTAGGTTACACCTACTTCCACCCATCTGCTACTTTTATTTCTGGTTCTCCAGCTCTCTTTTGCCTTCCCAGCACAGTTCCTGCCTCCCACTGAGCCCAAGGGCCAGAAGGAGAGAAAGAAGGAAAAAAAAAACAAACCATCAAGCAAAACAAAACAGTGCACAGCATAGGCATTTTCTATCAAGATGAAAGGAGAAAAAAAATAACAAGATTGCTGCTGACAATTGCTCAGCAACTGGAATGAGGACTCTTCACGAATCGACACAGAAGACAGACCATGAGTATGCAATTCATCTGTCAGTATGCACTATGACTCCTTTGCACATGTCAGGAGTAGGGAGGATATGTCAGATTTCCTCTGCTTGGCCAATACTCCTAAATCTAAATGAGGGCAAAGCGCATAATTTCTGATAGAACAAATGGGACAAAAATACCAGCAATTTACCACCTCCCTGCCTTTTTTTTTTTTTAAACTCTTCAGTTTGCCCTAATATATCTCATTTTCAGAAACACTCCCTCTGCTTCTGGGGTGGCCATGCAGCACAGCACAGTGCCACACTGATTTCCATGAGCCAGCACTCAATGCAGCTGAGCCATTAGCTTTGCTCTGCTAAGTCACAGCGTTTCTGATGCGGATGGTAACTGACCCACTGCATTATGAAGACACAGCTACTTTTCTCGTGAGTCTGTTAGTAACAGCTCTTTCTGCTCTTTTAACTCCTGCCTTCCACATTGCAGCAAGAGAATCACAGAATCACAGAATGGTAGGGGTTGGAAGGGATCTCTGTGGGTTATCTAGTCCAACCCCCCTGCCGAAGCACGGTCACTTAGAACAGGCTGCACAGGACCTTGTCCAGGTGGGTCTTGAATATCTCCAGAGAAGGAGACTCTACAACCTCTCTGGGCAACCTGTTCCAGCGCTCTGTCATCCTTAGAATGAAGAAGTTCTTCCTCATGTTCAGATGGAACTTCCTA